GTCCACAAAACGTTGCTGATATTGAGAAACACTGCTCTATTCTATCTATTCCATTTCTCTACTTACTCCCTCCTAACTTCAGGATATATCTGGTGTCCATTTTCCATTCTCCTACCCATCTTTGTCTTTTCACCATTTTTAGAGCCAACCCCCACATGACCAGAGATAGGGAAATGTCTCCCACTTTCTGGGAAGTCTAAAGACAACAGCCTTTGTTCCCCAGAAACTGATGTTCAGAGCTAGCCTGGCTACAAGAAGCTGGAAAAAGATGTGTTATACAGGAAGCTCATCTGAAAGCAAAATACTGGATGAGGCTAGTCTTATCCAGCTGGGGTCCTGTCGCCCTGGTAGTTAGGAATGGAGTTTCGATGTCCAGAAATAGTCTATCCCCAAGAGACAATGCATCCTGATTTGGAGCTCACCAGAGAGAGGATGCTGTGCCCAACAGACTTCTCCCTGCTTATGTGCTCGAAGCACATGCCCAACCCTCACCTGTGGCACTGGCGTAGACAACCCTTGCATGAGGCAGCTTGTTCTGCAGGTCCAATACTGCTTTGCCCATCTTGGTAGAGCTGGCATTTTTGGCTTTGTGGCATTCATCAAACACAATCTGAAAGCGGAGGGCTTGTTAAGGAGAGGACAATTGAAGAAGTGGGAGGGATCCTGGCAGGCAGAGGGCTGTATGTATGGCAAAAGAAAACAGAAGTTCTGAAGGATCTTGAGAGGGCAGTAAATCAGGGCCATGGGCGGGTCTGCAGGGGGTGGTCAAAAGAGTCAAGATGGCAGCCACAACAGTACAGTCGAAGATCTCCCATTTTTTATATATAATGGAATAGCCCTATTTGAGTTGGGGAGGGAGGAAAATGTCCCCAGTTGCAGGGCTTAAGGAAAAGTTAAAGCAATCAATCAATCAATCCAACAATTAAACTTGGAAACAAGAACACAAAGGGAACAAATCTCAAATGGCTTTCTTTCCACCTCACCCACTCACACTTCCAATTCTCTTCTCCCTCTCTCTCCGTCTGGAGGAGAGATAGAGTTGTATGTCATGCAAACCTGGATTGTTTTAACTACGGTTTGCTGAGCAAGCCACAATGGCCTGCTTTGCACAAGATGCTAAGTCAAAAATTGTGATTTAGAGCGGGGTTCCTCAACCTTGGCAACTTTAAGATGGGTGGACTTCAACTCCCAGAATTCCGCAGCCAGCATGGGGCATGCTGGCTGGGGA